ACAGCCCGATATTTGTTGTCGTGCGTAAGTGCTTAGACGCTTGTAATCGCTGCCGTTGCGAAACTTGCTTCTGTGGCTTTGTTCGACATCTCATTTTTGTTCCAGCGGATTTTTTTTTATTTCCTACCTTTGTCTCGGGTACGCTATCCAGAGCTACTTGACGCAATTTGGCTATCCAATTACGTAACTGGCTCCGGACGCGTTGCTATAACGATGCAGGAAATCAATAAGTGTCGAGACTTCTGAATTCCTAGACTCTTGGACTCTGCGGAGTCTGCGGAATCTAGGTCTCTGGCTGTTGCCTTATTCGTATCGCCGATCGGTTCTTACATTGTATCTGGCTTGTTCGTTTATCGCGTGATAGCGTGCAATTACGCGCGAAGCGTGTTCGAGGTTCAAATTTGCAAAGTTCGTCACGGTTTCGGTGCGATAATCAACGTTAGTGTTACGTGCTGTCCGTGCCGGGTGGATGTTCCTTGTATCTCGCGGGTCGTTTATGAATAATTTGAAAAGTTGCTAAATTACAGAATTTCATAAATGAGAACCGGGTTGAGACTGTACCGGTGGGTGGAATTCGGAAGAAAAACGTTTGCCCCTGTCGGTATGCATTTTCTCCAAGTTGCGATGTCCCGCGCTCACCGGTTTGCATACTGCAGGCGCACCATGGTACCGCTTACCTCTCACGTACATTACGTTACGTAAATATTCAATTTAGAAAATTCATAGGTTCACAGGAACTGGGTTATTTCAAATTTTCAATATTTTTTACGAGCATTCGCGCTACCTTATTGATGTATAAAATCTTCCTTACCGATTGCCGTTAGTCTCAGCTAACGATAAGTACAGACGCGACCTACCGAGGGCACGGGGGTGCGGATCATCGCTTAAGCGACTAGATTCGATATGGGCTAAAGTATGGCTTGTCCGTATATAGAGAATTTGTTATTTACCTATTATTCAAATAATTACGTAAAACTGTCGATATAATGGTTAACCTTAAAAAAAAACCTGTTGCTCATTTATTTTAATGATTTTACGACACTACTTTTTTTCTCAGCCACTATACGGATTCTTGTTCGTGCTAAGATCTTGGGGTTTCATTTTTTACGGGATATCTCACGGATAGAGTGTCCTAATCTATTTTATTAGTGTTTTATGTTACCAGTGTCAACACCATTGATAATCTATGGTCTTGTCAGACTCGGCCGTCAGATGGCAGGAGAATCACGTGAATTCGAAGGGTTTCGATTTTAAAAATTCAAATCCAATGATATTTACCAGTCATGACGCTTTTCGAAATTTCAAAATCTTTTCTTTTTGCTAGGTTCACCATTCCATACTCCTTCCGTGTCTGTATCGATCCTCTTGAAAGTTACACTGTTTATTGCAAAGGAAGTTGGTATTGGTCCACAAGTACGAAGGAAGCTCACATAAAGTAGAAACCGATCGCTGTGCGCACTGTAGCAGGATACACAGGACGAGTCTTGAAAAGTCGAAGGCAACACTTGGTAATATCTCGAGCAGACCAAAAACGTTTGAAACCCCGTGCGAAGAATTCACTTCTAGAGACTGAAGGGACTTTGCCAATTGCATTCCAATATATTTGGACGTTCGATTCCATTGTTGACCCGAGTACAGTTAGGAATCCGTAAGCACGGTCAATGTTAAACTAAGCACGTACCGATAAAATCTTCCATGCAGCCGTTAGTTGTCCTCTCCTGGAGTAATCGGAAATCTGCTGCCCGGTTTTCCCATTTGTTCCTACCGATCGTCCAGCTCGATAGAATCGCTAGTAAATCCGGGACTTGCATTTTACGCGGGGACCCGTGCGATCTGGAAAATAGCTAGGCAAAAGGTAGGCAACAAACATTGTTAACGATAAAGTCGATGGCCGTCAGGGCTGGTGAGCACTTTGTACAGTTATCCCATTAACGGCGGCTGAGCGAAATACTCGAGTATGGACTCGATGGCGTCTCGTTGAAAAATCGGCCCAGACGCGTCGCGCTCTCGAATAAAGAAACCTGCATGAATAGCCTTCGAAAGTAATGACAGTAATAATAATGATCTTGTCTGACACAGAAGTCAATGTTCTCATTGCGCGAAGATGCTGTCGCCAGCTTAATGGTTACTCGTGTAACTCAACTTGTCATCGCTAAGAGCCGCATGGGGAATTGGCAATACGAGGAGCAACGTACATAACAGTAGCATCGGTAATGAGGAGCACTGTCCACTGGCGTCGCGACGCCACTGTCGGGGAGTTAACATCCAGTCGGGGTCGTCGCTCTTAGCCATTTTTTGAAGGATCGATCGAATTTGCGCAAAGCCCTCGCGATTGACGTTCGAGGAAGGTACGGGGCTGGGTCGAAGAGGTCAGGAGGTCGTGGGGTCAAGAGGTCAAAGATGCTGAGGTTCAGCGAGAGACAAAGAGCCCTTAAGAGAACTAGGAGTGGCCAAAGGGGCGAGGAAGGAAGTTATTAGTGGCCGTTTCACGAGAAGCGAATGAATCATCGGAAAAAAGGTGGATCGAGGAAGGCCTTAAGGGCGCCTTAATGGTCAGGTCGAACCAGAGAGAGGGTGGACCAGGTCACTGGATACCATCCGTGGACTCAGGCTATAATCGTTAGCGCAATATCACGGGGCTCCTTTATTACAGTTTCCCGTAATTTCCGCAAAGGTGCGCCGGCGAAATTTGAATAGCAGCTGGAGGAAGGTCGCTCCCTGGATATCCAGGAGCCATGAATTATTATGAATTACGTGAGGCGAGCTTCGAGGCTCGTGCAGTTGCCTTTCTTTTTTTTATTATTCTCTCGGTTGAAGTTAGGTTAGGCTTAGCTCGGCCAGTCCAATCAGTCAACAGAAAACGAGGGCTGACCGGGGACCATAAAACTCATGGCCAACGAGGCCTTCGAGGTAAACAAAATTCCTATAGATGGGCATAAGTTTCATCACGTTTCTTACTGCCGATTCGACGATTGGCCAATTAAACAGACGTCCTTGCTCCGTCCTACGAATGTATCGTAGGTCCTGCATTCCTTCTTCGGGAAGCTCTTCGTGATTCTCGCCCGCTGCCAATGCCGTATGACCTATCCTCGTTGACTGCGCTTGGAGTATCGATTCGATGACTCTCACTAATGACGTCTAATGCCAGCTAATTCCTGCTAACGACACCTAATGGCACCTAATGGCACCTAATGGCAGCTGGACATCGTCCAGGGTTTAACGGTGAGAGTCAACCCGGTTCGATTCGGCCTCGTTCGTCTTGGCTCGGCTCTCCTCGGCCCGATCGCCCGTACTTTTATGTGTCTTGCGGAATTTCGCGATTACGCAATCTATAATGGCGAGCCGCGACCTCGTCAAAAGTAGAATAAAGATATGCGAAAATGAAGAAATTTTCAAAATGTGAAACTACCTGGCATTCGGTAAGAAGAAGGAAGAAAGAAAAAAAAATCAGCAGGTTCCTCTTCGTCGAACTGCATTCCTGCATATCGATTGACGTTTGTCAAAATAACGATATCGTTTATTATTGCCGTGAAAATAGAGGCTCGTATGTGTGTATGTACACGTGCACGTATTTGTCTCTTATCGAAAGTGGAAAACCGGATTGTGAAGCAATCGAGTCGATCGAGACGCAACGGCTTCCACAACGGGTGATGTTTCCCCGCTCTGCCTACAGATGGCATTGCCAGTTTAGTTTCCGATTTCTCCTTCGACAGACACTCCACTCGCTACTTTCTACGTAGGTGACACTTTTCCTCGCGACCCCCATTATTTATCCTGGACGCCTGGAAGAAGCCTCTCGCGCGTCTCGCCCGTGTGGATTTCGACGCCCAATTGCGTCGTCACACTCGTTAACAGGACGACGATGACGCAGTAGGACGCAGTCCTGACGCAGTCGGCGCTCGCGGATTTCTCCGACGCTGTCAAAACGATCGCTCGATCGTGACAGAATAAAACTGAACGTGCGAAAACAGTGATTCCTTTGATCTCACAGTACGCGTTACTGACAAACTCCTTATCCGTATTGCAGCTTCACTTCGCCCGTGATGTCTGACGTATCGCGTGTCAGACGTCACGTTTACAGCGATGCGCGCAAATTTATTCAATTTATTCGGCTGCTGGAGAACGTAAATTCTTGGAATCGTCGAACGAGAAGGCGTGCGTGGTAGCTGTAACTATTGGTCGATCGGTAGCAGCAGGAGGCAAGCGGGGAGGAGGAGGTCTTGCCAGTCTTGCCAGTCTTGCCAGGTTTTGCCCCGTGGACTTTCCTCCTCAGGAATTAAGGGAATACCGCCTGGGAAGTGTCGCGCGCTTATCACCAGCTGGATTTATCAAGAACCGAGGGCGACAACCGTGACGACGTTCAGGACGGCGACGTTTGCGTTATTCAAAGTCTTCCTTTCGCAGGAGACCAGCGGGATCAGTACCTTCTGGCAGTCGCTCTTACGATAAGAGGATTACGGATAAGGATACCTCGGAGTTTATTACGCAGGCGGCATGCGGCGTACATACCTGCCAAGAGAAACTTTTAATTCTCACGTAAAACAGAGGAAGATCCACGTGCAGTTTGAGGCGTCTACGTCGATGCTGGGCGCACTCGTCGTTAAAAGCCGTCGAAGCAGCCGTCTGCGTAAACGCCGTGCATTCGAATCCCCAGAGTCCCAAGTAAACCGGAGTCATCGAGTGGAAGGTCTCGTCTCATTGACTCGCCCGTAGCGCTCGAACGTTCCTAGGCCGAGGGTCCGGCTGCGCGAGGCGTGCGGGGGGCGGCCGTGCCGCTCGGGAGGGACGGAGCCTGGGTGCGCTCAGGGGCCGAGAGGGGCAGGGCGGGGCTGCCCGAGGCTGAGGGTGGGGATTCTAGAGAGCGACAGAGCGAGAGAGCCAGCGAGCGCCCCGGGTAAAGGAGGCAGATAGTCGGCAGGCAGGCACAAACAGGCAGAGCCAGGCAAGCGGCCAGGAAGGCGGCCAGCCCGGCAGAAGGCAGAATGCTGAAGGCACTAGGCAGTAGTAGGCAGCAGGCAGTTGTCTGCGGTGGGGCGCGAGGTGGTTAAGAGAGAAACGACAGACGGATTCGAATCGAGTTGTAATACCGCGCCCTCCGTCGCATGCACCGCGCGGACGTTTACGTCACTCGGGTTTCACGTCGGGTGGTTACTCATGAGACTCGGAGAAACAAGTCGCGGGTGTCAGTGAGGCTCGGACGCCGATTCTGTGCGCGAGCGAACGCCGTAAGTTACGAAGTTCGAATTCTGCGTCTCGACGCCGGCGGTGCGTCGCCTCTCGAAGACGCATTCACGTCGCTCTCTTCGGCTACTTCTTCGCGGCTCTTTACGCTAGGATGCTTGACGCTTGCCGAACGCCCATAGCCCAACCACTGGGACACTGACTCACATTTCCTCCTGTGCCTTCACGCTGGCACCGGCCTGAAACACCTGCCCACTCGGGGCCCCCTCGTCCACATGTCCTGCCCTGGCCAACCGAGCCTCCTTAGCTCCTCCACGCGGTCTCCTCTCTAGCCTCCGTGGGATTTTTCTAGTGTTTTAGGTTCGGTTGCCACAGCTGCTCCCATTGCCAACTTGGGCGACGGGCGAAACGACTGGGCGGCCGGTGGGGCGGGGGGGGGTCACCTCGTGTCGCTGGGTTTCCCATTGCAATTGCGGTCAACCAGTTTTTTTTTTACCTCGTTGTCGAGTGTCAAGCCGACGCACGTGAGCCAAGCTCAACGCGATAACGATCCTCGCCTGGTGAACAGCGTGGAATTGTCTTGGACGGGTTCTCGTGAAGCGACCACGTCTTAACGGGCATCGGGTACCAAAGACCGATCGGTTCGATTACGATTTCGGATATCAGTAATCTCTTCTGGATAAGACACGATTATCGAAGGCTGAGTGTCTTGTCGCCCATATGAGCTCAGCGCCTTTATTTAGTAGCCGCGAAAACTCTTTAGCACGCACTCTGGCGTCGTTCTATCCTTCGGTCGATGGTGCCGATAACGAAAGGTGCAAGGTACTGGAATCATCGCCGAATGCCACCCTGGCTCATTTATCCTGATCGTCGGATTAATCCTTCGTCCTCGTTCACTGTCGTCGCGTGGTTGCATGTCGTATCACGCGGCTCTGTTGTTGCTTCTCCTGATAAGGCTCAATGATTATCCAATTTGACTTTGCATCGCACATTCCGTTCGCTGGTTGACGAATTGGACGAATCTGACGAATCTGACACGCCCGTTCGCCCTGGCCCGTTCTAGAGACGTCCTAGAGGTATGGCTGCTGCGGGTAACGAGGTGTCTCGTGTCAGAAGGAAGAAGAAGAGAGATGGAGGGCTCGAGTGTACCTGTGCTGCTGGTAGGTAGTAGTGGCAGTAGGGGAAGCGGAGTCGAAGGTGGCCAAAAGAAAGCGGCGGCTTCATCGCATTGCGTAAGTAAAGGCAGGCAGCGGCACGCACGAAGGCAAACCGACAAACCGGCAAACCGGCTGAACCTCCTAGAGGTTTCTTAATTCGACGCTACCCCCCCGTGGGACGACCTCGAGTTCAGGTCTTTAGCTCGAGTCGATCAGCCGTTGTTTTGAACGCCGAAGGAAGCTCCCTCAACTTTTCATCTGAACTGTTTGGCTGACGCAGACGTCAACCAATGACAGTGACGGATAATTAATCAGATAGCGACGATTTTACTGATAGCAGCGTCGACTCTACCGATAGCAGAACGATTTACACAGGACGCTCTCACGCTCAATTATTTACGTTCGGACGTTCTCTCTTAATTTATTGATTGCTCGGAACGGACCAATTGGTACTTGGAACTTATTGTCTCTTAAATTCCTCGCTCGAGTGACTAATCATCTGTGCTCGTTCTTCTCTCAGCTTCCGGCACTCTAGTCCATCTGGAATTGCATTGGTACTCGGCTGTCGTGAGTCTCGAGCCAGAGCGCAACTCCTCTCGCACCTTATATGGCCGTACGTGCGGCGCCACGAAAACCCATTTTCGCTTGACGATTCGTTTCTTCTCGCAAGCTTGCAGCATCGCTCGGGCCTCGTTTCCTGTTCTTGCGATGCGCGATGACTTCCGGAGAGGGAGTGACAGACCGATGCTGAATTCCTCGGGGATTCCTGTACCGCGCTTGTCTTCGGGCTTCTCTATTTCGTTGGCAAGTTCAAGGACAGCCTCGTACAGTATATATACACTTCGCGCCGTTTACGGGCCATGTGGATCGGGCATTGAGTCAATGTGACGCGATGCCGATGATGGCGGCGCTACATGTCACATTGAGCGATACCGCGTGGGCGAACTTGTCTGGGCAGGGCTTGCTTGGTCGCTCGGTCCCTGGGTCCCTGGGTACCTGGGTACCTGGGTACCTGGTGCGTTTGCATGCTACTTCAGCAACCGACCATTCTCCCTGTCTCTCTCGAACTGCTGGCTCCCACGTACTAAAGTTTCGCTAACCTTTTAAGGTTCGAGCGTTACCCTGCTTATGGTCGCGCGATATCTTTCGATTTTGGTTATCATTTACTTGGGATTTAACCTCGATTAACCAATTGTTTGATAAGGGCGATATTTTCGGCTTTTCCGACCGACGAAGATGAAGCTTTTCAAGGCCGATCGTCTTGAGTGTCTCGGAACCAAAAATAGACTCTCCTGTCTTCTCTGATCTCGATCGATAGTCTCTTCGGTACCCTGGACCTGAACGACGCGACGTAGTAGTTAGGTCCCTTCGATCCACGAATACCTGAACGTCTCGATGGCTTGAGGTCTACGCTGTTCCAATTTAGTCTTCAGGAACGCGATCAGGACGCTTGCTCGTCACTCTGTCTTGGAAGTTCTTTTTATTGTTATTGACTCCACTTTTGGCGCAACCTTTGACTTTGACTTTGACTTCGCTTCGAGTTGGGATAGGTCGGGCACGCTACCAGTGCCCGACCAATTCTCAACTCAGCCTGCCAAATGTCTTTTCGCCTGGTCGCTGGTCTTTCTGTTTCCCTTGTTTCCGAGTTGCGACACACTCGGCGCGCATTGTCGTAGCGTCAACGTCGTCACGTCGTTATGACATTACGAAATTGTGAAGTCTACCAAACGGACATGGAAAAGGTCCAGTTACTCTGCTGGACGTATCAACCTCGTTAGTAGGTTCGCCGTCCATTGTTCCCAGGTGGATTTCTCTGGTAAGCAGAGATTTCTAGGGTATCTCTGACGAAACGTAATCGAGAACGTTGCTGTCGACAAGGACGCGGACCAGGGCTCGGTCCAGGAGGTAGCCAGCAGATGCAAACTGGGGACTTTAGCTATAGTCGAAGCAATGGCGCGAAAGTCGACAGGGAATCAGGGACTTTGGACCCCGTTACGCAGCAGCAGCAGCAGCAGGACCAGCTATAGGACAGTCCAGGGTAGCGCAGGACCAGCACAGCCGATGCAAGAGGCGATGCAAGAGGCGATGCAAGAATGCTGCTGACTCGTTATTTCCTCTAAATGTATTAACGGGGTACCGTGCATTCGTGTAGAGGTTGTCCCTTGTGTGGGCACCGTCCTCTCTCTCTCTCTAGGTTAGGTTCCTGAGACCGGTTAGGCGTTACGGTGTTACGGTCTTACGGAGTGCGCACGCCAATCCCTTCATCCTCGTCGGAGGATATAACGTCCAACGTCCACCGAGACGGATTTCGTTTCAGTGGCTTATGATATCGATCAGATCCGATCCGTTGTTGTTTGGTCATATCGGCTCTAGGAATTCGATTGATCTAGAATGTACATAATAACATATAGATTTAGATAGAGGGTATCTCTGAGGTGGGACTGATCTTTTTATGATACTCCAAGACCACGTGGTGCTCTTTACGAGTAAAATTTAATGAATCCCTCTTACACCCGTTTCTTCATTTATTGAACCCACGTTCCAGGTGGTCCTCAGGCTCCCAAACATGGTCCTCCAGTTGAACTAACGAAATGGACCGAGGTATGCCGAACACCACCGAGTCAAAAGTTTGACAGGAATAGCTCAAACTGAAATAGTAAAATTGCCTCCATTCATTGGATTGCCGAGGTCGATGGTCCATGTCTCGCTGTCGGTCAGGGGCTGCGTGGGGCGCAGGGCTCAATTTCCGGGAAGAGACGTCAGTTCTACGTAGGCTAAATTATAACTTGGCAGTTTGGGAATTCCGTCTTTCATGAAAATCTGCCAAGATTTTTATTAAAAGACGCGCGACTGCTGCCTGACACGTGGCGGCCTTATGTCGGTAAACAAATGATGAATCTTTTTAGGATGCCTTTTCGAATCTTCACGCACGTATATGCACATATGGCTACTGATAAATCCTACTCTCTCAGTGATTCTCATTTCAGTCTCCATCTCTCTCTCTCTCTCTCTCTCTCTCTCTCTCTCTCTCTCTCTCTCTCTCTCGTCTTCACTGACAATCAGGCTCAGCGCTGCCGCGACATTCTATTTTCTATTCACTTCTAATTCCGGCAAGCCGGGAAATGTGAACCTAGTCGGGTCACACACGCTCGTCACACCAGCAGAGGAAGAACCGACGACTAAGTGTAGACGCATATCTATAGATAGATGCAGGCTGCCAGGACGTCGCGATGCCGGCGCGTCGTCTTCTATCACCTCGTCTCGCGCCGCGGCGCTAACCTCTTTATCCTGAGATGCCCTCGAGGACTTCCCGAATTCGCGGTCTTTAAATTACACACGAAATCCGTGTCGTCCCTGACCTCACTTACGAGCCGAAACATTTCCACAGGTTGTACGTACAAGCGTCGGCTACCTGCTTGTCCCTTTGACGCAGTCGGCAGGTGCACCTTTTTACCTGAAACGACAATCTTTCGAATTTCGGAGCGATCCGGTAGTTTCCCACTTTGACAATATCAGTGAGGGGCAAAAGGGTACAGATGGGTCCCAAAGGGAGATAAGTAGAGAAACCGGAGGGCGACCATAAAGATGAGGTACCGTTAGGTATTCCCCTATTCCCCTTTCTAGACTATTGCCAATTCTCTCTCTTCTTTCGCACCTTTCGCACCTTTGGCACCTTTCGGCTCCTTTGGCAACTCGATGCACGGACTGCTGGTGCACGATCGCTCCAACTGCGACTCCTACGCGCGAGGAACGTAAGGTCGCGCTCGGGACTTCCTCCTACGTCCTAGGAGAAAGCGCCCTAGCCCGTTCCGCGCTCCTCGCTGCGATAGTAAATCGTGGGAATTCGTGTCTCTCCTAACCTAACCTTTACCCAGTAGTCTCGCGAAATCGAGCGACTTATGCGAAAATAATAAAATGGGTGATGGTTACTCCGATAAGCGTTTAGTGGGTTACGTCGGCGGAAGCGGCGGAGATAGGAGAATGACTAAAACTAGTGTAGTCAGTGGCGGAGTCGCAGGAACCGCAGGAACCGCAGGAACCGCATCCATGAACGGGCCTGCTCGCGCGATCTCAGAATCCGAGGTAACGTCAGCTAATGAAATCGTAGCTCTGACGAGACCTGGCGGGGACAGTCAATCTTCCAAGAGGAACTGTTAGCAGCCGATGACGAGGTCCTTCGCGAATGTCTCGCTCGCTCGTCATTGGTCGGTTGCGAGTAAAGAGACGCGAGTCGCCGCTCAGGAGTGGTCGCCCTCCTGGCTCCAGCGGAAAGCACCCACACGCCGTTCTCCGATTACCATATGGGGATCCCGATCGCTGCTCGCTGCTCCGCAGTTCTGCACTGCCTCGCCGCGAGTACTCCTACTTCCAGCCTACCTCCGGTCCACCTCCGGTCCACCTCCGGTCCACCTCCGGTCCACCTCCCAGAGTCCTCGTCTTGGGCTCTCGGTACTCCACTCTCTTCTCGAGTCTCTCGATGATCCTCTCCTGACTTCTCAGCTCTCTCAGTCTCGTGTCCACGCGCCTCCTGGACAGTTGCCGTTCACTCGCTCGCTCGCTCATTCATTCTTCTTCAGCTCCTTCTTTGCCAGGTTCTTCTTTGTTATTTTCCTTACATCTCGCTGCCTGCTCCACTTCCTCTGCCTCCACGGCAGTACGCTCCCCCTCGGGATTTCCTTCCGACGCTCTTCCGTACGTTCTACTTCCTCCACCTATTTCTCTCTCTCTCTCTCTCTCTCTCTCTCTCTCACAGTCTTCTTCCACGTGTTTACGATCTTCCCGAGCACCGATTTCTCTGTGAGGAATTCAGCCGCGCGTCTCTTCGGTTGTCGCATCACGCTTGACACTCGGCCCGATTTCCTTAACGTCGACCGAGACGTTCCGGGCGATCTCGTGCGTGTCGCACAAAGAGAGAGAGAGAGAGAGAGAGAGAAAGGGACTTTGGCAATTCGCAAGCATTCGTATCCGGAAGGTGTAGAGAGCGTCCGTTGGCGAAGTTGACGTTGGGCGACGCTATTTCGAGCGTCGAGGCGAAGTTCTCTCGGTGGAGAGAGAGACGCGGCGCCGGCCGTCTCCTATCTACTCCTCTTTCTCCTTTCCTCGTTTCGTAACGGCCGGCACCTCTCTTTCTCATTCCCGTATAGTCCCCCCGGAGCTACGACACAACCACTGTGCTACGACCACGACCACGACCAGGACGGCGACCGCGACGGCCATGAGGTCGTGAGGAAGAAGAAGAAGTTGGCGCGTATTTGCGCAACGAACGAGTAGAACGAGTAGAACGAATAAAACGCCACGAGAATAAACATAGGACTTTGATAAGAGGCCCTTCTGGGATCGCGCGTGAACATTGTGAACGTTCGGAGGAAGTGTACACGTGTCGAGGAGGTGCCACTACCATCCGTCGAGGAGGACTCAGGAGCCTCAGGAACGCAGAGACTCCGGTTCGTGAGCGCCCCGAGCAACGTGTACCGTGAATTCCAAGTGCCATAGAACAACTCCCAACCTGACTCCGAATATTCCGCAGCGGGAAGACTTTGCCGATTTCTCGTGACTTTACTCTGGACTGGTCGGAGCGATCGTCCTCTGCGTGTCAGTCCCACGTGACCGAGAGAGGTTGACAATCTTAGGAAGAGTGACAGTGAGGAGTGGACGAAGGAGAAGATTTTGAATGTGCATAAGAGGGAGTGAAAGGAAAAGTCTTTCTCTTTCTGTTGTTTCAACCAAGTGCAGTGTACGCGCATAACCAGTGCCTAGCGGACGTGGGAGGATCGATCGATCGGTGATGCGCTTGTCAGGCGGCTGAACCCTTTTTTTTCCGAGTCGCGCCGAGGAAGATATATAAATTCTTCTTGAAGAAGATGTCTACCCAGGCTTACTACAAGGAGCGGCTGGGTTTCGACCCGGCCGACACCGTCGCCGAGCATCATCGCGAGCAGCGTTCGCAGCACGGATACGAGGAGTCGCTCTCCAAGTTCAAAGGTCAGAAAGCTCTTGACAATGGATACGGATATGGATGCGAATCCGAATACAGGCGCGGATATGGATGCGCGTTCGAGTCGGAGGAGCGAAGCGACGTCAAGGCGCTTCTCGGTGAAGAGCAACGCTCCGAAAGCAACACCCAGGCAGCGTTCTGGGGTTGCTGGGCGATGTTCATCGAGGCCCATGGTAGGTGCCACCATAAATGGACATAGTCATACGCATACACTTACACTCGCAGGCGGACCCGATTCCAATTAACTCGATTACGCTCGTAACTCACTGGACCAGCTCACCCGAGTTCAGAGAAGTTTGAGCGAGAACATCCAAGTCAAAGGGAATCACGTGAGGGTCCGACACTGGCACTTTGGCACTTTGGCACTTTGGCACTTTGGTTTATCTCGCGTCAATTGAGTTTTGCTCTGGCATGCTGTGTTCTTAGATGGTTTTTATATACTAATCATAATCTAATTAATTGGTCAACTCCCTTGCCTCGATCGTGACAGAGTAGCAAGGGGGGAGGCCTTGTCGATTAATCATTGGGAAATTTGACGAAAGGGACCCCCAACGGCTCCGAGCGTGTGGACATTTCAAAATGACGCTCGTCGCTCCGTTTTTGAGCTTTTGCTCGTCCCTTTTCTCAGATTTCCAGTATTTGCCTAATTTTCGCGCTCGATAAGCTCCGTAGTGTGATCTGGTCGTCTCGCAGAGTTATTATGCCAGCGCAGAGCTCGAGACACGAAGCCGAATGGGCGGTGCGTGTCGTGTGTGCCATAACCTATGCCTGTGCCTCTGTGCCTTTCAGGAAAGCACAGGAGCGTGGCCGTATGGCGCATGGCGCATGGCGCATGGCGCATGACGTGTGCAGTGTAAGTTGTATAGTGTGAAGCGTGTCTATGGTTGGGGCACTTACTTGGCACGCTGGCCAGGCGCCCAGCTTTGCTTAGATTCCATTTCATTAATTAGCTATTAACCCGCGGCCAATCAGCTGTTTCCTGTCGAGCGACCGATAGTCGCCGGGTAGTCGCGTAGTGGCTTATGTCGACTTCTCGATGCAATCGACATCTCGTTGTATCGCTAGATCGTTGCGTATAAATTGTTATACAACGTGCGGAATGTACCTCACGATTAATCAGATCAATCGGAAGATACGTATTAGATGAAAAAAAAAAAAGAATTTCTATTATATATAAATTTTGTAAAATATATCCCTTATCGTACTGTCGGTCATTAAAGAATTTGATGTGCGAATACTTAGAGGTTAACTGTAGCGTCGAACGGCTTTGAAGTGGAGACTCTCAGGAATTCCCATTCTTTCCAGTGGCAACAGGTAGTCGCTTAAAGTAGGTGCAACGAAAGTGGATGCACGTATACGAAAGTTCAGAATGGCGGCTTCGAATCCAACCACTCGAAACGTTGAATTTTTTAAAGCCAGATAATAAGAAGCGCACTGGACTGGAGCGTCATTAGTCCAAGGAGTCCTAAGACTCTGACGGACCTGGGCCTAATTAGAGATTTCACTCGGCAAGTAAGTCCTCTAAGTGCTCCTGCAAATAGACTCGTACAGTCTTCATCCTCCCGTCACCCTCGAGAGTACGTCCACGTCGCGCCGTGACGTCACGGCGCCTCCGTTTACGTCCACCTGACACAGTATAGCGCAGAGTCCATCACGAGGTGCGAATCCAGCCTGCGAGAAAGGGGCTGACGATCCTTGACCCGGTGATTTGTAATTCGAGGGTCCAGGGCGAGGGGGGTCAAAGGGCATCCAAGGGCGTTCATAGGGAGCCGACAGGGCGTGAGAAAGCGTGCGCAAGGGTTAACGAACTTGAGGATGGCGACGTAACGCGAGGCCAGGCTTCGCAATCGTCAGGCACGTCGAGAAGAGCACTTGACTGTGAGACTCGTGGGCGGACAGAAACCGCGCGCGTCGGCCTGAATTTTTTCGAAAAATCAAGTGCGAGTCTGAGAATGCACTTGAGCGGCTGGAATTTTTGTGGAACCCATACAAGACGTAGGCACGCTTGCCAGGGTCCACTCGTGTATCCAACTGATCTTGCACACGGGGCACAAGGGAGCGTGCTAAGACGAAAGATCACAGGCGAAAGAGGTATAAGGAGGAATTTCAAAGCGGACGTCGACGAAGGACTCAGGACCGTTTATGGAAATTGTTTGCGATCTCCGCTCGCGCGTGCTCATATATGGCGGAGGTGTAACTTTACGATCCTGTCGCGAGCGATGATAATAAGAACGCGGCCTACGCCTTAAAAAGTCCGATTGTCCGAATCTCACAAGCGAGTCGCGTCCGAGCAAGATCAGCAGCGCCATTCTCGATTCGTTCGGATCGGCAAGCAATTGTGGCAACGTGGACAAGGAGGCGCCGGGAGTCTGACGTCACTCTGTGCTTTTTAAATGAGAAACAATAATCTCTCGTATTGCCTTTGAAATTATGCGAATAGCTTCACGAGATATGGGTCCACGTGCGTTCTCATAGTCTAGGGAAATTATAAAATGCATAAGCCGGCTATCTGCGAGCTGTTTGAGCCAAACCATTGGAACCATTGGAACCATTGGAACCATTGGAACCATTCGATCCATTATGCCCAGTGAGGGTCGCGATCGTGCAGCGCTAGGCGCTCTGGTCCCCACACGTGTGTACGTGCATCGCAGCTGCACGCTAGCTCGACCCATTATCTAGAATGTTCGTGAGCCTCGCGGCTGAGTCACCTCCCTTACAGCCTCACAGCCCGTTACCCACTTCACCTCCCGAGCTTCACTTCTTCCTCCGGCACATCGGAGCCTCGGTCGTATCAACTTATCAACGTATTAACGAGCTCCGGGCCCCTTCCTCTCTCTCTCTCTCTCTCTCTCTCTCTCTCTCTCTCTGTCTTTTCGTATCTCGCGTCAGTTTAAATGTTCGAGACTCTCGACAAGCCGAGTACCCCCATACACTTTGTATATTCCTTTATACTCCTTTTCAGATCCAGGCATCTGACGCTCTCTCTTTTTTTTCTCATTGCAGACGAGCGAGACGCCATACAGAAGAAGACCTTTACGAAATGGGTGAACAAACATCTGAAAAAGGTAACTAATGCGCGCGCTGGAAATGGGATTGGACGACTGCTGGAGTCTCGGCGCATTGTCTTGCCGAATGGCCCTGGTTACTCTTCCCTGTACCTCGTATAATTCATTCCTTGGCATTCCTTAATGGTCCCATTACTCTGACATCTGTTCGTTCCAGAATATCCATTCGTGCATATTCATCCGCGACATTTCTGTCCCGTGGTAAACAACTCAGCTATGCATATGTATAACGACACATCGAGCACATCGAGCACATCGAGCACTCTCGGTATTCCTATGCAAATCTATCACCCACTAAAAGATTCGTGTCCGACTTACGTCCAGGCGTGGGTCTTATACGGCACGGGACGTACGTGCCGTTTAGGAGATTGCCTATTCTCAAATTTCAAAACAGGTAGCCATTTCGATCCTGGTACTGTGCTCGCTCGGCTACGTAGACAGTTTCAAAATGGCGAACCTCGCGGAAGGACTATTTTCACGACGTTACTCTTTCTTCTGATTTATGGGAATTACGTGGGCGACTGCTATTGCGCAATAACTCGAAATCAAGGAAAAGATCGTACGTATACGTCGCGCGTACCTTGGCCCACCCACGTGTCTAGTTGCGACAGTTTTTTCTTTTTCTCGTTTGTTCGTAATTATTACAACACATCCCAGTACACCTTGCCGCTCGCTTTGCCTACCTCTTGATTCGCCTGTATCGATCGATCGAATAAGGAGTCGCTTCTCGATGCTCCGGGACCTTTTGACCTGACAGATGAAGTTACCCTAGGGAGCAGTGCTAACGGTACTCCATTGATAATGGCTAATGAGCTAACGAGTAACGATGATGACTGCGACGCGACACGCCTGGCGAACCTAAACAATACCGGAGAGACGCGAGGAACCTGATATGTAATTCTTAGCCGACTGCACTGTCCTCTCCGTTTCATCTTACCAGCAAGGTCGCATATCCGGTTTTGCCTCAGCTCGTCATCCGTTCACCTGCTCGATTAACGAAGCTTGTGTAAAAATTTCAATTTCATTTCATTGGCAACTTCCATATCGGTTTAATTACCCGGGAGGGTGGTGCGTCCATCCTTGCAGGTAGGGGTGCTCTGGGTTGCTCTGATTTCCTGGTTTCTCAATACGTTATACCCATCAGATACCAAAATCCACTTGGATTTGTGAGGTGGCTTCAGGGCGTGCCGAATGTTTTCTCATCGATTTAGAAATTACCTAATAACGCAAAGACACACTCCTCTCTCTCTCTCTCTCTCTCTAACTGCCTGACCGACGTGACCTATTCGAGCGTCAAATTGACTATCGCCGGAGGCACCAACCCAGCAGCCACGCACCCCTTGGTATCAACTTGATCTTGTTCGAAGCCACAAGAGCGATTACGTATTACGTCCGCGTATTTTCTGGATAAGAAAAATGCTTCCTGGGACGCAGGTAAAAACCAGGCAAAACCGTAGACGAGCGCGAGACGTTATTATTCCAGGCTGTTTGGCAGGCAGGAGTCGCGCTCGGCGCGCGGCGCGCGGCGCCCACCATTCAAACTTTCATTCATGGCTCGCGAATAGCATCTACCCACCTACCTATAACAACCCACGTGTCTCACTCTTGCTCGACACTCTTACCATATTCGGGCGTGCCCTCTTCAGCTTCGCCTTAATCAGATTCTCCTTGGACTTTTTCTTTTCTTTCCATGTCGCTTTAATATTTTCTTTTTCCTCGATTATCCTTGTACCGTATTTTCGTTCGGCCCCTCCCTCCCCCCCCTCCCCGATTTCTGTTTACTCAGACGGGTCTATATCTTTCGTTAAGAGCATCCATTCACTATATTTTCCATATCCGTCTTCCTACTTCACTCGTACCACCAGCATCCTTATGCGTCACCGTTCAAGTACGTCAACTGGTCGCTCTCATACCATAAAGGATCACAGTCATGCTGCGTTCCCCATAATGGCCGAGTCGAAAGCGCATTTTCCAATGAATTATTAGCACACCTCGTATGCCCACGTTCGTGCCTTATTAGTGGTTAAATAATTTTCATTATTTTTCATGCTTCTCGCAGCACTGGAAATACGTCAAGGTATGGCATTCTAATGAAAATCCTAATCCGAATTGTTTCAATGGAGCTTTCGTCTTACACTCTGTGTGCGTTATAGGCGATTCAAGAAAATGCAGTTTTATTTTCTCGTGACAAAAGTTTAAGGAATTTGAGTTTGAGGGATCAAAAAATATGAATTGTTCACTGATGTCAATTCTTGTGTCATTTATCTCAGTATCTGTACCGTTGGTATCGTAGTTACCGGTAAAAGGGGATTCTTTGTGTTTTTTAAATCTCTGTGTCACATTATCTCGGCAGGGAATTACAGGAATGTCGATTGAGATTCGGTAGAATTCTAGCTCGGTCGCTGGATACGAAGTTGTTTTCCTTCCTGTAATTCCGGCCCGCGGGGTTTCCGTGCTCCTGGGGTTTCAATAAGGTTTAACAAGCCGACGAAATTGAACTTGCATTAACAATCGGTGCTAATCAATCCTTTCTCACGTAACACGGTCTTGCTGATTTTCCCTTTTTCAGACCTACACGTGTCTCCACGTGTGCGTCATCGTCAACAACCAGCCATGCTGTTCTCCCACCGTAAGTCGGTTCGGCCGATCTCGCCTGGCCGTTGCATGCTGTCTTTGTCTCTCTTTCTCTTCTCGTATCACCTCGTGCTGTCCCCCTTCTGTAACTCGTTTTCCCTTTTGTGTGTTTTCCGAGTCCTGCGTTTCCTGCTTAGCCCCTGTGCATCGCTCGACACGCCTCCCCTATCCGCATGTTCACTCCTCCGTATGTCATCTTTCCTTTGTGACACACGGTTCCACGATTTTCTAGCCGTCATCCGCAATGGCCTTGTTTACACGAGATTTTAGTACGCGCCTTAAGGATCCTTCTCACTTCTTTTTATAGCTACGGAGTGAGAGGGAGAGTTCTTAGTACACGTCACTGTAAACTGATGCTAATAACTCACTCGTTTTTTTTTAATGTTGTATCGCATGCAGTTTTTTTTTAAAATTTGTCAAAAATTTTTTTACTTTTTTTTTTTAATGCGTTTCGAACCTGTTTCAGGCAAGCAGACATGTCGGCGACCTGTTCGAAGACCTGCGGGACGGGCACAATCTCATTTCTCTGCTGGAAGTGCTTTCGGGCGAGCATCTTGTGAGTTTACGATAAATTTTCATCCCTTTGTTCTTACGGCGGTTCTTTGGTTCAATTTACGGGCAATGAGCTCAGTGCGGCGAACCAACCTTTGGTTTGGCTTCGTTTGCTTTCCTTGCGCTTCGTTCCGATTCGTTTAGTCTGGTTGAACGGGAGAAACAATGTTTTTTCAGCCACGGGAAAGAGGACGAATGCGTTTCCACATGCTGCAGAATGTGCAGATGGCATTAGACTTTTTGCGCTACAAAAAAATCAAGCTGGTGAACATCCGGGCGGAGGACATTGTCGATGGAAATCCCAAACTTACCCTGGGTCTTATTTGGACGATCATCCTCCACTTCCAGGTAAGAGCTCAATCTGATATATGCATGCATCTAACCTCAAAATTTGTCTGGTCAATTATTTCTTGATCACGTTCGACGATCTTCGCTAGTCGACTTATCACAATGGTCGCTAAGGATGTGAGCGAGGATAATGGGAGGGGAGGAAGTTGGCGGTTTTCGTAATTCCGCGATTTGCTTCTCGTCCGAGATGTGAACCGCGTGTCAGAGCGACGTCGGCTTCATTCGGCAAGCAGGGCCAATGCGCGCCTTGTGCACGATACGAGTCTGCGATTCTGCGTCCCGAAAGCAAAAACCGTAAAAGCCACAAAAACCCATCCGACTAACCGAGTTACGCGAACATGAAGGCGAGCAGTGTTTGCCTCTGCCTCCTGTGTAATAATGAATGATACGTCTTGATGGGATTCGCTCAGGAATGTCTGGGTATCGCGATTATCAAATAATTTGATCGCGTTTAAGAAGATACCACCGCTGCCGCCATCGTCTTTCTCTCTATGAGCGGACATCATTCATCGACTTATCTTGTAATGATAGCGTCGCTTCTTCTTCTTCTTTTTCTTCTTCTAAAGATCTATCCCTTCCGTCAGTACCACTTCAATTGTCAATTACGTATGAGTCATCACCTTCCTGTAAACTTTTGGACCCTTGCACCCGACTACACTGTATATTAAGAATCACGCATAATCGTACCGTAGGCCTTATCACATGTGACAGTCGATCTAATCGCACGCTCTTTTTCTTTTGCGCCGCAGAGATGGCGACGCAAGGTAAGTTGCCTCAAGTTACCTCAATAGCGACCAATTGACAGTGTACTATTGAGATTGTCAAAAATTAGGATACAAGTATATAGGGACGTGTCAGGCGGATGAGTAGACGAGTAATCGTGTAGCTGGAGTTTGAGAGTAAAAGATATTATACTGACTGGGCATGTATGTACAATAGCATTGTACGGTGCTTGTTCAATTCTAGCTGTAGGTACATCATACTACTTGCAACGCCGCGTATCTATTTTGTTTTCCGTTGGAACTTACAGAAGCCTTACCGGCTAGGGGGCTCTCTACGTTACCGACTGTTTCTTTTATCGTTTCCCGCTCTACCTTCTCGCCCAGTTCTCGCTGCTCGCTACTCGCCGCCACTTGTCGCCACTCGCTGTTCGTTCCTCGCTTCTACGCTTTCTTCTCTCTTTATTCTCTTCACCTCCTCTCCTTGTATGTACTCTCTACTGTCCGCTCACGGTCTTTCCGCGTAACTCTCTTACGGTTCGCTAACCTGTGAATCTTTTTAATATTCTCTGGTCGGTTTCGCTGCCGAGGAATTAGCCTTGAAGCTTCAACAACGCTACCCAGGATTCTTCAACCTAGGATCGCTTTCCCCATGCAGACAATCACAATTCGTGAATTCAGGGGAATTCATCGTTGCATCCTGATGACCTCCTCCCGCAAGTAGACAATATCACCTCATTAAGAAACTTTCACGAGTCGAAGAGCTAATTAAGTCTACGACGCCATCTTGGCTTCTCTCTACTTCGTCCTATCAATTGTCTCTTGACTGTCTGAAAGACTGCGGGATTTCCTTTGTTTTTCTTTTTACGCTTTATAAGGCGCGTCGCGACGATATTCTCTGCGAAAGAGACACTCGGCTACCCATCTTTCGGAATGTGCCAGATTTACTGGTTTCTTCGATTCTCTTTTTATCGGTCAAGGTAGTCAGTCGAGGTGCTCGAGTCGCTGAATACCTCGATGACGCGGTATACCCTAATGAATAAAGTGTCGTAATGATCCCGTACTCGTTCAGAGGAGCACCATGTGTTTCGTAACGTTCATCGACGTTCGTGTTAACATTTTCCTTTTATTCCAGTTGCGCTTGTATACTTTTTTTCTGCAATGCGTGATTTTCTTAGAATCATCTCTTTGGTTCTTCGTAATAATGATTGACAGCCACGGCATTAACCTAGGTCGAAAAAACGATGGATCTTTTGTTGTAAGCGATCACGATGACACCAGGAGATGACGTGGTGCTCATCTGACATCATCGGCACGTATAAACGGCTTCCCATTGTGTTGTACCATTGCCTTCGTGTTGCTCTGCCGCTTACTGCAAAGTCGACGCGAGACAGAGAGAGAGAGAGCAGACATCTACATAAAATTGGAAAGATAAGGACAGTGCGTGGGATTTAAGAACGGCTACGATCTTCTGTCCTGTCGCTCTCGGCCTTCCTCTTAACGGTACACACGATCAACGCGGCTTCACCGTCTTCTTGCTCTCCTTTTCCTTTTATCTTTAACTGCTCTACACTTCCCGTCGATCCTCTCGGTTCCTTTCTCTTCCTTTTCTTTCGGCAAGTTCACGCTCGTTCCCTTCGTCCGTATGCTATTTCTGGTATACCATTTGCACGGATTCGGGCGAAGCATCCTAGTATCGGTGTAGTTTGAGGTTAGAAAGGGAGGAGTCGTAAAGGGGG